GATGTTATACTCATCAAGACTTCTATTTAGTACCCACATCAATTTTTCATATATTTATATATATTATATATATGTATATATGAAAAATATATCAAAGTGCATGTGGGTACTCAAATGAAAGCTCTTGATAAGTGCAACATCGGGATGAGCTTATATCTTTAAAAACGTCAATAGTTAAAAAAGTACAGTGCAATTTTACAAAATTCATTATTTAATAAAGCAAAATTTTATTTATTAATAGTTCACAAGTCACGGCAGTCACATAATGACTGCAAGGTTGATAGTATTTCTTAAAAGTTTAAGGTTTACAAAAATTTCTACAAAATTAAATTTCACGTTAAAAAAATTTAAAGATTTAGTTTAAAAAATTTTACATTTGTCTTGTCTTATACCCATATTTTACTAATTTATTTTGAAAAATGATAGTCATCATTAAAATGAGCTCACCATCACCTTTAATGTGTCATTAAAAACATCAATTATTAATTAACATTAACACGTATTTATGAATCATTATAATGTATATATGATTCGTATTCTATCTTGTTTTTTTTTTTCTAAGATTATAACTATTATGGTTGCTATAACTGTTACTTGAAGTGATTTAATGTAAAGTACACGACCGTCACACTAACGTTATTGTCAACATTTGTTAGAGAGAGAAAGTAAACCGTGAGAAAAAAGGGGATAGAGATCTATTTACCAGTTAATAATGTTCAATCGTAAGTTTAAAGTTTATTACTTACAAATTAATACAAGTGATTCAAAAATCTGTTTTATTTTTCAAAAGTCTGATATTAGCCAAAAAAATTAGAAATCGAAGATATTTTCGACAATTATTTATTTATTTATTTATTTATTTATTCCGTAAATTAACGCCAATCGGCTTTATACAGTGGTTGTAGTGAATATGCATACAAGAGAGAAGTCGTAAATTAGTAATGATGGTAATAATAATAATAATAATTGAAGAACTACTAAGTTTATAATAATAAGTAAAAAGTTATAATAAAAATACAATGGTATTTAGCATTAATTTATTTTGCGGCTTCAACTTTAATTATGTTTAAAAATTTTATATTTCCCCATGAAAAAAAAATATATGTTGAAATACATAAAAAATATATTTTAAATATATTAAAAAATCTATAAATTATGTATATAGTAAATATATTTTTAATAAGTAACTTTTGGTCGATTTTCATATATATTTTATATATTTCAAAAATATTTTAGATATATTCAAAATATATTTTTTTTATATTTTTAGCTATGTATTTTAAGATATATCTTGAATATGTCTAAAATATATATAAAATCTAAGTGAAAATCGGCCAAAAATTAGTTATTAAAAATATATTTACTATACATATTTTTTATAGATTTTTAATATATTTCTACATATATTTTTTTTTTTTTTTCATGGGGATTAAACGACTAACGCGAAGAATTTTTTTTTCAATTATTAAACAGATAAATAATCTTTAAAATAATTATCTAGAAAATTTGAATTGAACTGAGTCGAGTAAAAAAATTTTTAGTGGCAATGACATACATTGCAATGACAATGACTTATAAATATTAGTATATTTATTATATGCAGAATGTCAAGATTATAAGATGTAAATCATTCAAATTTATTTATTTATGACCCAATTAAAAATTGATAAACTTATTGGTCATCAAAAAGCTCAAAATAATTATTAATCTGACTTTGCTGATAGTTAAATTGATTCTGGCTCATAGGATATATAATAATACAAGAACATGTTTTGAAGAATTTAAAAGAGAAAGGATATTGTTAATCCAAGGCTAGTCGATTAGTGATCTTATCATATTTGCATTTGTCTTTTATTAATAAAGTGATCTTATTATTATTTTATTAACCGCATAAAAAAAAATTATAATGAATGAAATGATCTATATCTTTGAATTTTTCTTATTGTTATTGTAATTGTAATGCCTATTAAAATCTAGAATTGAATGCTGTTTTTTATCGAGTGAAATACTTATGAATAAAAAGTAAAGTCGTTTTAATTGTTACGTTTCAAACACATAACCCGTGTTTCGAGACATGACGTTTGGAATATTATTGTGAAACCGGATGCTTAAAGAATCTTTTTCCGTATTTAAAAGCCGGTATCGCGTGCATGCGTTAAGAGCGTAGTTACATCCTCCGGATATACAGGACAACGTCATTTATTTTTTAACTTTTAATTTTTCTGCAACTGTTTAAAGTATATTCTTTATCATTGGTATTGGGGACTCGAGAGTTTTATAAATTTTTCTCGGCAAAAACTTGACTAGATAATATTATATAACGAAAAAGCTACTGTCAACATTGTCCGGCATGCCAGTTTCACTCGATTAATCTTATAGATGTGAAATCCAGTTTTTATCACAAGTTTTTAAATTTTTAAAACCTATTTTAGGTCTGCTGTTTAGCAGTTATCATTTAAATTTGACAATCACGATATGAAAGTATGAGCTTATGATTTACTGCATGCGTGTCTTGTGAATGTAGCATAAATTTGAAAGACAATATTGAAAATTTACGATTGTCGGAGATACTGCTTTCTCTACATGCTGATTACTTCATTTTTTACAAGTACTCTTGAGAAAGTTAAATTTGAGAGGAATAATACATTAAAAGCCGGTTAAGTTAAATTTTTAAATTACTTTTTAAAAAATAGCATTAATTATGGTAAAAACCAGCTATTATATGAGTTCAATTAAAGATATCTCGATTATTTTTTCGTGTCATGACATATATTGATACTTGTTTATAATTTGAGGAAAACTTTGATCTTTTGTTTATTATATTGAAAAAAAAAAAAATTACTTTTTTTAAGGTATAGTACTTCAGATACCGCAAGTGTCAAATGTTCCATAGAAAGCCTTATTTGATTTACTTACACAGAAAAAAAAATTTTTTTGAATCAGCTAAATAATTTTGATGAATTTTATCTTCTTGATTCGAGTAAAAAAATTCTTAAACTAAAAAATTCATTTAGGTTTAAGTAAATTTCACTTAATTCAAAATTTTTCGATTTTTAAGACAATAAAACTCTTCAAAATTATTTTCTTAAAAAGAAAAATGGAAAAATTACATTGTATAATGTAATTTTTAAAAAACATTGATAAGTTTTAAAAGAGAATTAAAGAATTATATTAAACTATGTAGAGATATGTAAGCTATTTATTGTTGATATGTATATAAATGTATAATTGATTAGAATATTTCTTTATAATTTTTTAATGTAGTAAAATTGTTAAATAAAAACACATTATTATTATATTATTAAACGTGGCCCGTCGTAAAGGAAACTAGAAAAATTACAGTTTTAAATTGTAATTTAATGACATTAAAATGTAAATTTTACATTCTAAAATGTAATTCTTATAAAATCTGTAGTAATTACAATTTGAAACTGTAATTTTTCCAGTTTTCTTTATGATGGGCCACGTTTACCCAATTTTAAAACACAGTAACTGACAATTTTAAGATTTTTAAAAATTTTTCATATTATTTTTAATATATCATAAAATTTTTAAAAAAGTTTGCGCGCCAAATTGATAAAAAATTTGATTTATAAATAGAAAATACTTGAATATAAATATTTTTAAGAAAAAATACTTGAAATTAAGGTCTACAAGTTATAAGAAATGCAGCAATACTAAAAAAAAATCAGGTATAAAAATTTTGTAATTACTGTGTTTTAAAATTGGGCAGCTGATTATATAATGTAATTTTTCCATTTTTCTTTTTTCCGTGCTCAAGAACTTTTCTCTTGATTTAAGTTATTTTTTTTTTTCACTGTAGTTAATTTTCCTATGTAAAGTCACATTAAAGAAAGAGATGCAGTGATAATTTTTGAAAGTTTTTTATTAATTATTACTATCACATGCTCTGAATTTTTATTATTAATTATGCAAAGTGTTCAATATATCATTTCTTTTCATCACCTAAATTTTTAGTGAAATTTAAACGTCTTTTTTTGTAAACTAAAATGAAAACTATTATATAATTTCTCATAAGACTTAATGTTTAACTCTAAGATTTTACAAGCTCAATATTTTTTA